CTCGATATTCCCAGCGCAGGAATCCCACCGGATACGGAAGTGTCACCCGTCTCCATAGTGAGCATATGTCACTCAGCCCCCCACCTCAGTTCTGGGGCTTCTGGTGCATTGTGAAAGCCAGAAAAATCCACCCCCGACTGCCAGAGCCTCACTGGGGGTGGGGGACACTCATCTGCTTGTACAGAGGTACTGGTCCCCATCACACAAATCTGTACTGGGGCTGTGTGATCTTCACTGCATCATTTCACGTTTCCTTCATTCGGGAGCCGCTCTCGCCCAAAGGCAGACGGCACATTCCCAGCACACGGCCATCAGGGCTGCCTGAGTGTAAGCGGCCCGGCTGAGCATGCAGCGTCAGTGCATGTCTGACTCACTCCTGCTATCAGTCACATGACTCTGCTCCCGCACACAAACAGCCCATCTGTGAGCCGCTGACGAATGAGGAAGCAGCAGGATGATGGCACTCGGGGTGGGCGGGGTGCTGGGAGACAATGTCACCCAACCGGCCGGTCTGGTGTGACACAGTGACACATAACAAACGGGTGTCGCCGGGGCCACATGGGCAAACCCGTCCCTGTGAGCCGCTGACCGGCACACGCCCCCCTTTAAAGGGACAGCGTCTGTTTCCCTTTGTCACCTTGTCGACATGCCACCATCCCCCATCCTCTGGTGAGAGATGCTCGGCCGTTAGGGGGAGGCTTCACCTTGCGCAGCATCCATAGTCAGCACCGCGTCTACCGTTTATTCTATATAACACGTCTACAGCCCCAAACATAATCAGTATTGCGTAAATAACACTGAGAGGATCAAAAGTTGCCCTGAATGTAGAATGAAGCCTTTAAGGAGGCAGGGGGCATGGTGGCCGTGGGGGGTATTTGTGATGCAGACAAAACGGGGGGCTCTGTATGGCTGTGACCGGGGGTGTGCGGAGGGGAGGGGGATACCATATCGCGCAGGCTGCACGTTCCTCACACGCGGTGTCTCGTTCAGGTGGCTACCTTTCCAGCGTCAGAGGAAAGCACTAATGCGACACCTGACTCACCCCACCCCCCTCAGCAGGGGGCACTGTCCTCATGACTCAAGAAACCAGTCGCCCATTAAGACCCACACGTCTACCTTCAGCACTCATAGTCGTCCTGACTAATGCCTGCCTTCAACATGCTTTTTCCGCACGGGAGACGCGCGGACAGCTGCTGCCTTTTTCAGGCATGCTAAAGACATGTTCAGCACTGCGATGCCGTCGGACAGCCGGTCCCGTGTGACCGGCCTCTGGCACAGCCGCTGTCTTCCTGCCGCCCAGCCGAGCTTCGAAGAGGCAACCGGACAGGCAAAGGGGTCGTCTCAGAGGAGCTTCCCCAAATCACCAGACCCCTCCCCCCAGTATGCACCCTGGGACCTTTTGGTGGGGGGTGGGGAATAGAGGGGGAGGGTAGGTTGCCGAGGACAAGTAAATACATTCCTAAGAGAAGAGCTGTGGAAACCCCCACCCCCAAAGCCCCCAGGCATTGCTTTTTGTGTGTCGTTCTGACTACTCAGCCAACGTCCCCTACAAGGCACAATACACAAGGGCCCAGTGCAGCCCTCCCCCCTTTGACACCTCTGACAGAACCCCCAGCCCCCCAGGCCCAGTGGCTGCCCCATTGTTCAGAGCCTCTTCGGAGCGTTGGATCACGGAGCCACCCAGGACACAGCCTCGTGCTCCAGACGGTGCAAATACAGCAAGACTGAATACAGGAGGTATCTAATGCAATGTAAATACAAATATGGACGGTCAGTGCAGGGGAAACGTGTATAATAATCACTTTACTAGGAATCCCTACATAGTACCAGGTAGGACCTTCTAAAGAAGTTGAGTTGTGCATCTACATAACAGTTCAGTTTTGTGTTGTTATTATTATATGATAACTGCACTGTTACACTCAGCTGCTGTTTCTTGCGTTGGCGGCCTTCCCGTTTTAACGAGTCTGGCCATCTGATCTCTTCCATCAACGAGGTGTTTTTAGCCACAGAAACGCCGCTGCCTGGACGGCTTCTGTTTTTTTGTTCTTCACACCATTCGCTGCAAACTCGAGACACCGGAGTGTGTGAAAATCCCAGGAAGGCGGCTGTTTCTCAGATGCTGCAGGCGCTACGTCTGGCACCAAAGATCGCACCACCTTCAAAACCGCTTAGATCAGGCGTCTTAGAAGAGCAGTAAGTGAACCCCTCGACCTCGTCTGCTTGCTGCATGTATTCAGTTACAGCCGTATGATTGGCTGTTATGAGGAACGGGCCGTTTCCCTAATAAAATGGCCAATGAGTGTAATAATAAATCCAATAAGGACAGAAAGAGAAAATGCAGGGCTGCTATTGGACAGCAAGGTCTGTAAAGGCGCTCATTATGAAGTAGCTTTTTGTTAAGGAAATGCAGACAGTTTGGAGGACAGTACAGCAGTGGAGAGAAACCCGGAGGGCGGGGTGCATGTCACCATTACCCGCGTTAGAAAGGGACGCCCCAGCGCCGCGATTCATGACATCAGCATAAGGACACAGTGGCAGCGAGCCACGGCCTTCCCTGCGCTCCCAGCGGACCGGAACACGCTCTTCGGTCGCGCTGCAGTGCTGGAAGGAAAGCGCGTCCCCGCGGAAGGTTAACTGCACGCCTGTCAAAACACGATCTCACCACATTCATCTTCAACGGGCACCGCAGGCAGACAACAGACAGCCGTCCTCTCTGGCCCCCCTCCCCCCGGGGGGGCAGTGGGGACACAAAGCCGAAAGGGTCAGAGAGGGACACCTGAGGTTCTTGCGTGCATGTGGGGACTGGGAGGCAGGGGGGTATACACACACACACACACACACACACACTTTTAACCACCAGCCCCCGGGCTGTGATGTGTCAGAGTGAGGAGGCTCTTCAGTAACCTGGATGAGACGCCCAACGAGAGGAAACACGTCCGTCAGTTACCTGGGAAACTGCCATCAGTCCGGTCACATGGCCTTAGCCACATCCCTCTGAAAGCCTGACCCCAGTTATGAATGAGGCACCTCCGAAGGAGTAAGACAGAATGAACAGGGAGCGAGAGAGCATGAGAGGAAGGGAGGGAGGGAGAGCAGGAGCACTGCAGCGGACCGCTGTGCCCCCGTGCCAAGTATAGCGTGGGCCGGATATTTATAGAAACAGAGAAGCAGAGGCCTCGGTGCCTGGCGAGTCGAGCATGAATCACTCATACAACCTGGAGAGATGTGAAGTGAAAAGCCCGCCTGCAGCTGGGGCCCCCGCCCCGCCCCCACCCTGACATGTACACCGATACTTACAAACACAGACGCTGACGTGGCTCCGCCTACTCCCTATCAGGGCTGTGAAGGTGCCTGGACATTACTCCCCCCCCGGCGAGATAACGCACGGCACTGAGAGAGTGGTAAACGAAGGGAGGGTGACGACTCCTAATCTGTGCCGGCAGAGAGGCCAGGGGGCGACGCTGTAGATTAGGGGGGACGGTGGGTGGCAGGTTGGGGCCATTAACCCGCATATGGCTGCTGCCCCCCTCAGAGGAGCTCAGTCTGTGCGGAAACACCCTGCTGTAATGATACTTAGAACTAAAACGTTTTACATGAAAACTGCAGCCAAATGCCCTCTGCCTACTAACAATAAAACCTACAGTATGCATAAATTACTGAGAAAATAAAAAAAGGATGAACAGGTAGATGGAATGTCTGTCTCATGTTGTTCCGAGTCCCACCTGCATGTGCCCCATTCAGTACGTTTGCTCGCTCCAATCTGCAGTTTTTCCGTGTCAAAGGGGAATCGTCTAGATCACCCATATACATAAGGCAGCCCCGCAGAGCCCAACATAAACACTTAAATTAGCACACTGGCCCGATTTGTGACCTGTTTAGGAAAAGTGACCTCACTTGTGTTCTTTTCCAAAAGGCCTGACTCATCAAGCGCATCACAAACGCCTTAGTCTCCCGGGACTGATTCAGCTGCAGTGAATCGCTCCCCCTCGGCAATGTCCACACCGGCGCGATGGGGAGGGAACGCTGGCTAACATGCTGAGCGGAGGGTGGATACTGGCCATGAGGAAACCCAAAGCGGACCTCCTGTGCACACAGAAGACCACCAGACACCACCACAAAGACAGCGTCGGAATGAAGAGAATGTGGGACTCTACTTAAGGAAAGATGTGTCCTGAAACATCTAAGATACACATATGTACACTATATAAGAACAAAATCAATAATAATAACAATAATAATAAAACAATGTGTTTATCAAAGGGGGTCTGAATCTATTTTTGTCCTCATGAAGGGACAGAAGTACATATCATAATGGGAAAAAATACACATATGGTGTTTCTGTTTGGTTTAAATGTGTCAGATTACTGTAGTTGGCCTTGTGTTTGAAAAGACAAATAAAACCTTGGAATGAGCTGATTTGGTTAGTTTTAGTCTCTCACCAGTCTCTGCACTGTCCTAATCTAGTCTGGATACAGCTGTGAGCACATGCAGCCTGGGCGGAGTCGAGTGACCTAATTTGAACGGAAAGAATGTGTTCCAAGTGATTTTTTTTGCCACAATCTAAGCCGCCAGTGATGAGAAAAATCAAAACCTGCATGATCAACCTAGCCAGCAAGATTATGCAACAGCGACATCTACTGGGCACTTAAAGAACAACAAAAACATAGGAATTGCGCATGCGTTTACGTGGAGGAAATGTTGTATTACATGACAATAAACACATGAATTACAATGTAAAAGGAGCCATAAAAGCCATTAAGAATAAAATAAAAGTGATGGAATTACTCAGACTGAATCGTACGATGGTGAATAAACGAAAATATCTCGCATGTGGCATATACATTAGAATTAAACACTGGTAATAGATCGTGGTTGAAGCAGAGTAAAATATATTAATGCTTTACAGTGTAAAATAAGAATCGGTTCTTCACTGAGGTTCACGTATGATTGGAAATTAGACTACATTAATTACTGATATCAGAACGGCAATGTAAGTCTCAGAATAAAGAAATAAATCCACCACACAAAACGCAATATATTTTCATTTAAAAATCTTTAGTCTCAAGTCTTTTGCACAAAACATTTGAACGAATTGCAGCGCCAATCTCAGGAAACGCCAATAAAATACACTTTGTTCCGACCGGATGGGGTACAAATATCTGACATGGTAAAATTACTTCTGTATTCGACAGTCTTGGTAAGAGGGATCAGACGCTTTAGTCATGACAGCAGGCTGCCAACGTTTTAGGAACAATACGTCGAAGGAAACGACTGTGCAAGAATCATCATTTAAACGCGAACTGTGAAGATAAAGAAACAAAAGTGTCAAGAAGCGGTGGCGCGGGGAGGAAAAGGGACTGCGGGGGTTAAGCTTTTTGGGGAGGGAGGGGGGACCCTGCGCCATCGCCTGTAACTATCAAATTTAGCGGCTCTCTGGCTCTTACACGGGTGAATGATTTTTCATCGTTTCCCTTTTAGTTGCTGTTGCTGGCTGCAGAAAGATACTTAACGTGGCCTGAGTCAGCAAATACACAGTTACAGCGCTGGGAGCAGTAGGGTAACATTCCCATAGATATTCGTCTCTTAAACGATTTCACTATGTCTTGCAAGTAATTGTTTGTCACTAAACATTAGCACTCGGTATTTTGTAAAAACTGTATGGCCGGAGACTCGTTAAAGCAGTGGTTCCCAAACTTTCTCTGCAGGGCCCCCCTTTTCTAGATAGGAACATTCTTGAGCCCCCCCATTCAAACTACACAGGTTCAGATTCAAACTTTATTTGAAATACAACTCCCTTTTCTAACTAAGGGAAACAAATGCAATTACAAAATACAAATGGTGCAATTTCACCACTGTGGGAGAAAAAAGAGCAATCAATTAAAAATAAAAGTTTGAAATTATGCAAATGAAGATTTAACATTCCTGTTAATATTAATTGGCGTACACAAATTAAAGTTTGTTTTACGATTACCGCATTTTGTTTTTAATGATAACAGCAGTGGCCTGTACTACGAAGCGGGGTTACTGGCTTATCGGGGTAACTTGTCGGATTTAAGGTACCACAGTTTAAATGGACTTCATATTCGCTCACTTACATTTTGCCCAGACTACCTTAAATCCAACAAGTTACCCCGATAAGACAGTAACCCCGCTTCGTAGTACAGGCCACAGGTTTCAGCCTATACTATAGCACAAAACAACACTAAATCATACCCATTAATTGATAGTCTCCCTGCACTTCATGTAGAAAGTTTTAAACCTCGTTTTTCATGATATAGTTAGATTTTTTTGTCCGGCGCTGCAAAACGTCCTCACGCGTCACCATGTTACATGGTACAAAAACTTTGCAAGAGCAAGACGACTTAAGACAGATCGCACAGCACCTCTCAGCCGGCTGAACAAACTGGAACAGCCTCCAGACGACACAACTTTGCCCTTATTGGCTGAAGGACGTGACGTTTGTATGATGTTTGTATCCCTGGAAGTTCCGATGCGTTTATTTGATGTTTTATATTGGACTTGTATGTCTGCTTGAAGTTAATAAAAAAAAAAAAAAAAAAAAAGTTCCGATGCGTTATCTGCTATTTCTCCCGAATGTCACGTACAGCAGTGAGAACTGGTTTTCAGTTAATTTACCTGGTAAAATAAAGTTTAAATAAATGACAGAAATGCTCTAATAGTACACGTAAGTTAGTGGTTTATTTATTGTTAGTTACTGTAATGTTGCGCTGCTTTATTTGTTTAATGGTCTAGTCTGTGAAGAGATTATTTTAGGGTGGCACATGCCCCTGAGGCTATCCCATTGGTGCGCCCCTCCGCAAAACCTCTGTGCCCCCTTAGGGAGGCGCGCCCCCCAGCTTGGGAACCACTGCGTTAAAGGATGACGCCTAGTACCTAAAAATAGGGAGAGTTTGCTAAGTACGGCAGCTGATGATGAAATTTGACATGTGATGAGTGTTTATTGATAATACAAAATTAATAATGATACGGTTTTACTCTCATACGACAAACATCGCTGTCAGCATTCATCAGAACCTTGGCACGTAGCTCGCACTTTGCAAATTGCGGAATAAAGTACCTTCACGATCATTAATCATTAATTAAGGTACATTCTGGGGCTGCTGGTTAATCATAGTACCACCAGAGGGCAGGCTTGTCTTATAATCTATCACCACATTTTAAGCTAAAGAGATACTGTGAACGCACCTTATCATTGACACTCCAAAGATGAAACTGCTCAATATTTAGCACAAGGAAGGAAGTCTTACCCTGCGTCACGTAATGTAGTAACCATCACGTAATTTTCTGTCAATGGTTGAATAATTTGCCTGATATCTATGCGTATATGTAGTAAAGTGAGTCATTAGTTTTTAAAATTATTATGATTTGATTTATTTTGTGTATCCAGCCCTACAGACAGCTATCCAGTATTGACTGATGTTCCAGGAAACTCAGTGAGAAAGGAGAAGAGTGAATGATTATAACAGTTATCTCTAGCCTCTTATCTACCCAACAACAAACACTCTGTTCACAAACTAATTTCACTGATTATCCAGCAAAGTGGATCTAAAATGCATCTAAAGGACTTAATACTTCGTTCAGTTTTTGGGTGAATGTCATACAACTAGGCATGAGCTAAAAATGAATTTGAACTAAATGATAGACAGAATTGAGAGGAGCAGATGAGAACAAAGATCATAATAATGGACTTTTAATTCATTATGTTAAAAATAGTTTTAACCAAACCAGTTTTCAGTCATTCAAATGGGAAAAAAATCCATCACATGCTCAGTGCTATGGGTACTGCTGATGACGGTGATGTTGTCCATTTCTGTCAGGAATGTTAGTGGTCAGATGTTTGGTACAGTAGTTAATGATGATCCAACTGGGTGCCACAAACTCAATCATTTACTGATGTTGTGTTGGTTCCAAATGATCCATTTTTCATGTAGACATTACATAGGAAAAACTCCACCGATCTTGAGTTCACAATTGTCTTCTTCCAATCCAGCTTCTCTCTGTTTATATTTTGCTTATAAGTTAAACAGGAAAATTGATGTTACGCATCCTGGTCAAACTTCTCGCTGGAGGGCAATGAGTAACAACAGTTAGACTGTTAGTGGTATTATAACAAAGTGGAAGCAATTAGGAACAACAGCAACTCAGCTACGAGTGGAGACAACGCATGCTGAGGCGCGCAGTGTACAGAAGTCAGCAACTGTCTGCACAGTCAATAGCTACAGACCTCCAAACTTCATGTGACCTTCAGATTAGCTCAAGAACCGTGTGTAGAGAACTTCATGGAATGGGTTTCCATGGCCGAGCAGCTGCATCCAAGCCTTACATCACCAAGTGCAATGCAAAGCGCCGGATGCAGTGGTGTAAAGCAGAGCAATGGAGACGTGTTCTCTGGAGTGACGAATCATGCTTCTCTATCTGGCAATATGATAGATGAGTCTGGGTTTGGCGGTTGCCAGGAGAACGGTACTTGCCTGACTGCATTGTGCCAAGTGTAAAGTTTGGCGGAGGGGGGATTATGGTGTGAGGCTGTTTTTCAGGGGTTGGGCTTGGCCCCTTATTTCCGGTGAAAGGAACTCTTAATGCTGCAGCTTTCGAAGCCATTTTGGACAATTTCATGCTCTCAACTTAGTGGGAACAGTTTGGGGATGGCCCCTTCCTGGTCCAACATGACTGCGCACCAGTGCACAGAGCAAGGTCCATAAGGACATGGATGAGCGAGTCTGGTGTAGTAGAACTTGACAGGCCTGCACAGAGCTCTGACCTCAAACTGATAGAAACACCTTTGGGATGAATTAGAGCAGAGACTGTGAGCCAGGCCTTCTTGCCCAACATCAGTACCTGACCTTAGAAATGCTCTCCTAGAAGAATTCCCATAAACACTCTCCTAAACCTTGTGGACAGCCTTCCCAGAAGAGCTGAAGCTGTTATAGCTGCAAAGGGTGGGCCAGCTTCATATTAAAGCCTATGTATTAAGAATGGGATGTCATTAAAGTCCATGTGTGTGTAAAGGCAGGTATCCCAAGTCTTTTGGCAATATAGTGTATCTTGGATGACAATGTCCTGTAATACTCACTCAAACCAGGGGTGGCGCCAGAGATTTTCTTTTTTCTGTTTTCTGCGAGGGTGCTCTGAAATTTTGTTTCCCCTTAATGTGCTAGTTGTCACAGTTGAATTTCTAATGCAACCCCCCCAAACACATGTATAATAACAATTGGTTTGTTTTATTTATGTATATATTTTTTCAAAGTATAATTTATAGACCTAGTATTCACACATTAAAATGTAAAAAATTCTAAACAGAAATGTCTTGGGGGTGCTAAGGGGGTGGCTATCATAGGGGTAGCTACAGCACCCCAAGCCCCTCCCTGGTGCCACCCCTAACTTTTAATCTTATG